CAGATTGTCATAGCAAAGTCGGAATTTACCCTTTTTTTTTTTAGAAATAGCCTTTGTGCATAGCCAGCCTTGTACTCTTCTAGGTTCAAAAAACTGTCGTCCATAAAATGCGTTGCACAAATTCGAACATCTGGGTTGTGCTGTTCTTTTGTAAATAAATCTTAACCAATGATTCCTAATTGCATCTACTTCCGGAAGGCCAAATAAAGTGCTTTTGCTTTTGCACTGAAACACAGCGTCTCCCTGACATGGCTGCATCAACACGACTGCTGTTCCTGAAACCACGCCTTCTTTCTTTGCCTGCACATTTGGGTGGCATTATGCTAATATTTCCACATAGTGACGTAGATATGTGGGGGCGTGTTAGAACGAGCCATTTTAGGTAGGCGTGGCTGACTCTTAACTTTTATAAAGAATATCTCTTTGGATTTGAGACTTTAGTCTTTGCAACTTTACAGATCTTCTTTATGCACCAAGAGCTTGTAACACTCCAAAGAGAAAGGAACACTTGAAATCGCATCATATGACCCCTTTAAAGTAACACATTTCCTTTTGTGGTTTATTGCTTTATTATGTGCTTAGCAAATACTAATATTATTTATAATGTGATTAATATTGAGAATCACTTTTTTTAATGTTTTTCAGATTTGTTAAAATGTTTTCTGGTGGAGAGGGAGAAGATGAAGGAGGAATTGAGAAGTTGTAAGGAGAAGATTCAGGTGAATCACATTTGCTTCTTTTTGTAGCATCCATGTACTCTCAACTGACACATTGTGTCTCAGCTGCTCCAAACCCTGACATTCAGTTTGTGCTTGACACTTTGGTTTCTAAAATTCCCTCTTTTGAAGACAGAGGAAAACGCAACAGGAAGTCACATTGTTCCCAGAGGTACAGGTCAAGGATTGCCTGATAACAGCCTGTCAGCTTCAGCAAAGGCTTATGGGACATGCAATCCTACAAATGACTCCTTTCCTGTCTTAGCTGAGGAATGGACATGATATTTGTGAGCGATTTGTGTTTATGTTATGGTTCTCTAACATGGGCCTAATCTGGTAGTCTCAAGGAATCAGATTAAAAAAAGATCTATTTTTGACAGGAATGAGGAAGAGAGGGAGGCAGAAAAGAGAAAAATTGATAAAGAAAGGGACAGCAAAGGAAATCATTATCCCTTGCATAGATTTCTGAATAGACAGAGGCGGACAGTAACTAAGTACATTTACTTGAGTATTGTACTTAAGTACACTTTTTGAGTATCTGTACTTTACTTGAGTATTATTTTTTATGGGAACTTATGACTTTAACTTCACTACATTTGAATGACAAATATTGTACTTTTCACTCCACTACATTTCTATCAAGGTCCTCGAAGTAGAAAGTCGTTACTATGTAGCAGCTTTGAAAGTCAGTAGGTGATTTTTTTTTCTTCTCTAAAACATGACTTTCTTTTTTTCAGACAGTTTATCAGTAATCACTCTTGTAGGGCTACATGAAGAGATTTCCCAGCATTTTTTTAACGCTGACCAGTTGCAAATGATATTTATTTACAACAATTCAATAATAAGAAGTTAATATTGTGGTATATATTAGACACAATATTGTCTGATTGTCTCAATATTGAATATATTACCTATAAAGCCACAGAAGAACTGTTGTGC